TTTTTTTATGTTTATGCAGGCAAGCGAGTTAGCAGTCCACCTGCAAATGGTAAGTAGTCACTGTCGCCCATGGACACTTACAACACCAACTCATGCGTTGTCGGCTCTAAAGAAAACCAAATTTCTCTAACGGCTCTAAAGATAACCACGAAGTATTATTTCATCGATATCTAGTAAGGTACACCACTATTTTTTTCGATATTTGGTAAGGTACATCATTATTTTGACATTTGGGTCTTCTTTTACTTATGGTTGGTACAAAAGGCACACATAATTCGGGACATGGAAATGCCGACTCTTATAAAATTACTTACTCAGTGCGTCCGACATTCTTCATATCCTTCTTCATAGAAAGCGACTGGCTGCCGCCGCAGCAGTTGAAGCCTACTACGGAATCAATACCAACAGTAGCTGCAGGCTGCATATGCTCGCTGCAAGTGAGCCTGCAGCCGAAATCGGAATAGCTTAACGTCTGTGAGTGTAGCCGTTATCTATTACTTATTACTCACGATAAAAGTGAGGTTTCATTGGATAAAAAAAGTAGGAATTTCATTAGTCGTTCCTTTTTTACGCTTTGTCGACTAAGCGTAAATGGGTTATCTTTATTGCTTCTCTAATGAGACTTTTTCCAAGTCAAGACTTCTTTCCATTTACTCAAGAAGAATAAGAAGCGATTCCTTCGTGCTCCAAAAAAAGGTAGTAACTCAAAATTGTAGGGAGTCTTGATGAGTTAATACGAAAGACTTACAAAGCTTTTTATTTGCTGTATCTTATGAATCGTAAATTTATATTAGAACATACCTAGTTTTTTTTTACATAATATGTATTTCTCATGGAAGATATAAAAAGCAGTATTTCTATACCGGTATAAACAACAACAAAAAGGATTAACACAAAATAAAATGAAGAATTCTACAACAACCCACGCTTTTGTTCGGCTTAACACTGTTCAATACGTTTCAAGTGTTCAATTTATTTATTTATTTATTTATTCAATAAACATGCTGATTTACAGAACTAGTTCCAACGCATCAGCAGGTCACATTAATTCAATTTATAAATAAAATACAAATTATACATTACAATAAATACAATAACATTAATTGAAAATAACACATCAGCAGGTCACATTAATTAAAATTATAAATAAAATATAAATTATACATTACGAATAAAATCAAAAATAAATACAATAAAATTAATTGAATTTAGTCCAATGTCAATATTTACTAACTAGGCATTTACAACCTTCTTTAATAATATGTTCGAAATGGTCGGCATATACATCTATTTGGTCGCACTGAGCGAGCACGCTGTCTATCAAGCGAAGTACGCGCGGGGTGGGTGCATGCGCAGCGTGTAAGGTCCGTGTGTCGGGCACGTGGAAGAGGCGCGGTCGGCGGCGCAGGGCGACGATCGCCTGACCATCCCAAGGGATACGTGAAGGTATTAATAGGTTCACCCTGGACACTAAGCTACTATCTACCCTATGATGCAATACGGAGACGAAGTACACAAACATAAGCATTTTACGCCTAATAGCTAGTGTCACAAGATCCACCATACCAGTGACGAAAATTGAGGGATATAGATATGGGTAATACCCATAACGGCGTTTGTAAAGCCAACGTGCAAACTTACGCTGTACGCGCTCCACCATAAGTGCATATTTAGTCTCACGAGGGTCCCATATGATAGCAGCGTATTCCAGTTTACTACGGACATATGCGCCATATAAGACCTCAGCCACGGCCGTATTATTAAATTCGGAGGCAGTCCGGATTATAAAACCCAACATCTTACTTGCTTGTTTGCAGGTTTCTATTACGTGTTAGTGAAAGTCTAATTTATCGTCTAAAATTAATCCCAAGTCCTTAATTTCACTAACTCTGTTGCCAGAGGTGTCGCCTATCTTATAATCTATTTTTAATGGGGAACGTTTGCGAGAGTACGTAATGATTTTACATTTGTCGCTATTAAAGGGCAGGTGATTTACTAAACTCCACTTTGACACCGCATCTATATCAGTTTGTAAAGCTTGTGCATCCATGACATCCTTTATGCCCAGAAACAACTTCAAGTCATCCGCAAAAAGAAGACATCGAGCAGTCCCAATAGACAACGGCAAATCATTTATCATTATTTGAAATAATGTTGGACCTAATGTGCTTCCTTGACTGACTCCGGACCTTGCAAAGTATTCCGCAGAATCAAAACCACGCACTCTTACAAACTGGCGTCTGTTGTTTAGGTAATCGGCGAAGAACCTTAGCAGCCCTGGCGTGAAACCTATCAATGCTAATTTTCTTAATAATATATCATTGTCTACTAAGTCGAAAGCTTTTTTAAAATCGAAGTAAGCAGCATCTACCTGCCGTCCCGCATCCATTTCTGCAGAGATGTAATCCACCAACTCAACAAGATTAGTCGTGGTTGAACGAGCCCTGCGAAAACCATGCTGACTACAACTCAATTGACTTTCAACTTGTCTGGTAATATGACTATTCAGAATAGTTTCAAATATTTTTGAAAATACTGAAAGGACGGCAATCGGTCTGTATTGTGAAACATCACCATTGGACTCTTTACCTTTTGGCACTGGCGTTACACGTGATAGCTTCCAACAAGTAGGGTATTTTGAAACATCCAGACACTTATTGAAGATGTATAGTAGCGGAGTGCAGAAAACCGATTCACAATCCTTCACCAAAAACACTGGCACACCATCAGGCCCACCAGCTGACTGCGCCTTAAGTTTCTTTATTGCAGTCTTTATATCGGTTTTGATTATGCAGTTGATAGCAATGTTTCTTGCATCCATCTGAGAATGCGCAGCACATGCAGCTTCTATCGGATTGAGCCGTGGTGAATCACTTCGGAAAACAGAACTAAATTATTGAGAAAAAGCCTCGGCAGCAGCCTGTCCCGTTACCTCTACTCCTTGGTAAGTGAGATCGTTCATGGATCGCCTATCTTTTTTCTTGTCCTTAACGTATCCCCAGAATTGGGCTGGTTATTCATATATATTTTTTTGTACTCCAGTTATATGCTGCTGATACGCGTTATCAATTAACTTTTTAGTATGCCATCTATAAAATTTATAAAGTTCCCGATTGAATTCCTTTCCCTCTGACTTGTATTTCTTTAAGTGATAGTATTTAAACTTAAGATTCCGTATTATTTCAGAATTATACCAAGTAGGGTATACATAACGACTTTGACATTGGTCATGTTTTTTTAATGGAACAAAGCGATGACAACACTCGTACAATTTCACATAGAAACACTCGACCATTTTATCAATATTATCTTTCAGTGATAAGTCACTCCAGTTTATTTTAGCCAAAGCTGCATATAATGCTGGGAAATCCGCTTTGCGCCAATTCCAATTAGGACAATCACTTCGCCGTTGCTTTGCAGAGCAATTATAAGTTGATATTAACGGTCCAGTACAACGACGCAGTTTTGTAAAAAATACCAGTGCAGGATGATATTTATCAATCGGTACCAATGGCTCGTGGCTTACAGATACTCTCACCTGATCAGAAGCAAGATCACTCAGTATTAGATCTAATTTAGTACCGTACACATTTGGAACATCATTAAATTGTTCTAACTTACAAAATTCACGAAAAGAATCAAATTGTAGTTTAACATAATTTGAACATGAATTCAGATTAAAATCACCCATAACTAGAACATCAAGATCAGAATGTGAACATATTACATTTTCAATACAAGCTAGTGTACTCAGATAATTTTCATCACTTCAACTAGGCGGAATGTATACAACACAACATAACAACTTAATATTATTTAACCTAATCACAGCAAATAATAGTTCTTTATCTTGTGTTAACCCATCCACATTTGAGATAGTCCGAATAGAATAGCAATCACGGACGGCTAGCAACACTCCTCCCCATCCAACATCTCCTTTCTATCTTTGCGAACTACCACATAACCCGTGGGAAAAAGCTCACCGTCAGACACAGAAGTTGTCAAAAATGTCTCTGTCAAGCCAATACTATCATATGCAGCTTGTACAACGTTCTTGCTAAATATAACTGTTTTTGAGCGTAGGCCACGTACGTTTTGATAATAACATTGAAGTGTCTTAAATTTACTGCAAGTTTTGCCTGGTTTCTTGTCTAGAACGAAAGTTATTCCGCCATGGTTTTACACATATGTCTTCAGCCCAATATTGTGGGTTCATTACAAGATCAGCTAGCTTAGTCGGTACTGCAAGCTTAAATGATGCATAATTTCCCCGTGGCTTAAGTGCCTCGACCGTACAGACGACATCGGCACCACATATCGATTTAAGATGAGTACTCACTTGTTCGACGGTCGTACCTTCTTTTACGTAATACCGGTGAATGTATTTTTTTCTCTCAGCAGCAGTCAGCGAAGTAGTTCCAGGAGCGGCGGTACCACGAAGCACTCCAAGCAAAGACGAACTTGCTGGCATCGAAGAATGTTTACGCTTCACTACAGTCCATTCATCCTTACTAGCTTCCTTTTCGCTCATGTTGTTTGCCATTGGTGTCACGCTTGCATTTGTCGGAAGTTCATTCAATTCGCAAGTTGCAGAAGTTACATTTATCTGCTGGGATATCGGGGCGTTCGTTGAAATATTTATTGTTTTTCCATTATCTTTTTTTCTTTCGATAGGTTTTAATTCGCTCTTTCCGGTGTTAGCATCAACCTTATTTGTTCTTTGAATGTCCATTATTTTACTCTCTAGACCATCAATTCTTCCTGTAAGACCATTTATTTTATCAAATAATTCGGCTTTGAAAGATAGGAATTGAACAGTAAACAATTTGCTAATTTCATCTATAACTTGACGAACCACCGCCTGCTGTGCCATTTCTGGCAAAGTATTCTTTTCAACCTTACTCGCTGATTGAGCGCAACGCGTCCCCGACCGCAAAGTGATATAATCTGGACTACTCATTGAAATATCAGGATTGTCACTAGCTATACTCATGTCTTGTATTTGGTGCTGTTGACGAACAGGAGTATGCGAATTATCACCTCTCGGAATTTTGCTGCGACATTCCACACAAACCTAGGACTTTTTAAATTCTAATGAAAGAGATGCATATATATTTTCAGAGTAATTTGCACATAGTATGTCAAATATCTGCTTACATTTTATGCAAGTCATAAATTTTGCTCCATCTACTATGCTGTGACATCCCGCACAATACAGTAATTTTCCTGAAGCCATCTCAATCTATCTTAATTTATCCGAGAAAAATAGTCGTCAAAACTAGTAAAGCGTGACGGGCAAGTTGACTTGATCGTTTGAACGTAGCACTTACGAACAGGCAAGTTGACTAGAACGCTTGAATGTAGCACGAACGACGCAAAGATTCGCCGCTGCGGCTTGCCGCGGGTAGATTGATTATTAATTATTTAATAAGAACAAATATCACAAACTGTTTGCTTAATATTTGTTCTTTTTCTTTACTAACTTTAAGAGATAACACCACTACTGAAAGATTGTAACTTGGGCTACACTTTTACTACAATTTTGCAGAACAATACACACTATTTTGACGAAGATTGGTAAAAATTTCGAGAGCACTAGTGTACACAGCTAAGCTTGACAGCGGAAGCTGTATCAATGTATCTTATAAGATGATTCGGAACAATTTGTTTTTATTATAACACTAGTAGCCTGCACTGGCTTCGCTTCGGTATAGAGCTGTAGTGTAGACTAAAATGACTCTTCATATAATTATAAAAAAAACCTGAAAATGGTATATTTGCCTTTTCCAAATATTCTATTGACTTCACGTCACTCAATTGTTTAGCCTTCCCGGAACCTCTCCACTAACATTCGAAATTTATGGTATGGTATTATAGTTCAAATTGGCTTTCAAGTATTATTACGAATCGTTTGTATGGGAGTATAGAAATGTTGTTTTTAGATTTTTCAGGCATTTTTAAAAAAAAATCTCTGCGGCAGAACCATCCTCGTACTTCAAGGAATATTCTAAAAAAAGAATTATCAATATCGGTTCAGCTGTTCTCGAGATTTGCGCTTAGCAACACATTCAGCGATTCATTTTTATATTATAGAAGATTTACAATGTATTGTTGCAGTTTTATAATCAGCACCAATTTTAATTGGAGAAAACTGAGAGTGGGTTTGCTTTATCTTTATCATTTTAAAGAATGATAATGATTTCATGATGACTGGACTTCGTACGTCAATTGGCCTTTAAACTAAAACAAACCCTTTATTCATATACAGAGTTTTAGAAGATCAAAATAATTACGTCTTCGAAATTGAATTAAGTAAATCATGAAAGCGTCCAGTCACAGTGGGCATTATTGTATTCCGATACATACATACGGCCAGCGCGGCAGCGGTTTCATTGGCCGTTTGACCTCGTGTTATCGCGACAAGCCCCCGCGCCGTCATCGTGTGGTACCAACAAGTCAGTATTATCGCGGCACAATGACGTGTTTGATTGTCGATCGAGTTTCAACTCGATTCGCTGTATTTTGTGCTGTGACTGTGACATTCAATTTAGGACAAAATTGGTTTCTGATGTTCTAAATCCATATCGAATATTACTAAATCGGAAGGGTGAGTAGGTAGGACGCTCATTCGCCGCTCGCACTCGCCTACCGTCGCAAGCGCATATTTTTCATTGATTGTGTACACACGCAAAACAAAATGACTACAGAAAAGGAGGTTTCTGAAGTCATCCGAGGTCCAAGAACGAATTTTTGCCAGCTCCGTAACGTATCGCATCGTCAATTTTTCTATGCAAACTAAGCGCCTCTAATGGGACTAAAAGAACAAACTAACTTTTTCCATACAAAATATGACGATACTATCTTTACGGAGCTGTCAACTCTCGTGCTTGGGCCTATGGTTCTAAAACCCTCATAATGTTCACGTTTGTTAGCTTTTAATGCAATAATAAAATAATGTTTCACCAATCTCGTTATTTTTCTCTTTATCATTTGTCAACCGTTAGGGCTACGATATTTTTTTTTTTTTGGTTTTTCAATAATATTGGATCCATTTCTTCACACTTCCTTTCACTCGACACGTCCGTCATTTTTCACTCGTCCTTGGTTAGCGTCTGATTCAGAGCCCTGAATCAGTGAACATGTAATCAAAAGCTTCGGCGACTGAATTTCTTGTCCTAAATCGGGCACTGAATATCACATCCGTTATTCAGGATAGTTTAATACCCTCTTTAGGTGCTTTGCTGAGACGTGCGTCTGTGGGTGTCTAAAAGCCACACCTTTTAGAACGTTTGTATGTAGCTTCCTTACTGTTATACTTAGATTTACATCACAAAATAGATAGCACAGAAGGAAAACTCATGCATGCATATACTTCACATCGCATCTACGCTCGGCGGTCACGCTAGGATTGTCAACTTTGACTTGTGCACAAAAACCTATCGTGGTAGTAGCACTTGTAATGAGTTGTTTTGATTTATTGTTGAGAATGAAATAGGAAGAATGGAAATTAAAACTAATAATAAATAAAACATTACAATTATAATGATATTTTTATATTACAATTAAAATAAAAAACGACAATTCAACGTTTAAACGTTTAATGTTGAATTTAAACAACTATCCCACTGAACAGTTATAATAACAATTTTTTGTTGCTCCATTTTTACACAAGAAATTCACAGACGCGTGTCTCAAGCGAATGGAACTCGGGCCCGCATTGGTACCAAGCTGTGTATGTAGATTACCTTCTGTATTATATATTTTGTATTTATTTACTATGTTGATGGTAAGCAGCCGCTACGCAATCGCACTGTTGCCTATCTTGACCCTATCCTCTACACCATGGAGCCCAGAAACATCACTCATTGGCAAAAAGACTACTAAAAGATAGCGTTATTTCACTGTGATATGGCTCGTGGCTCGGGTTTTCCAATTCGCGCGAAAACAAACTTGATTTCATTTGAACTGTTTTGTTTTTATTCAATATGTTATTATTAGCAAGGGTTTTTAACTTGTTAATTGGGTTTTTGAATGAGACTTGATTTATTTTCCTAATTCTAAAAGTTGTTGGTGACTAGGGTTGCCACCATTTAGGGCGGATTAAGTATTTTTTTGTTTTGGTAGAACAAAAATAAGTAGGCAGAATAAAAAACAGTATTATATATATTATGAGTGACGTCATTTTTGGCTCCGCCAATGTTTTCGGTCACGTAAAATTAGATTAAAAAATACTTTAATATTTCATATTTTTTTGTAATATTATTGATACTTTTTTGTCAGAATAGAGAAATCGTTCCCAATATTCATGTTAGATAGATATGCCAATTAATTTTTCATACCGTCCAATAGCCTATTCACTAAACAATACTCGCCCTATAAACAATTGAACAATGAGAATGAACCAATATTTCGTCACCCGGCGAATAGTTCAGTGTCGTAACGTAACGCCAGTAGCGTTATCTTATCATATTCACGGTGCGGTTTGTAAACTTTCCCATGTTTACATGTGAGCGGGCTTGGTTTTCTATTTAATAACATGGAAAAACTCAGCCGACTGAGTGGCACGGCTGACTGGCGCTGGCGGCGTGGTGAATGCAACTTTGCACACGCGATCCGGCCATGTGCCACAGACAAAACAATACTAAAAAATTCTAGTAAATTTTCCACAGCTAGAAAATTGTTTGCTTACTCGTGAAACAGTAGTCGCTCACGAGAGCACTCAGACTAATGAATCTATTCGAAGCGGCTGGAATTCTTGAGGTTAATTTTTTCAATGTTTCAGTCAGGTAGCGCCTTCACTTTAGATCGGTAGGTATATACTTCACTTATGCTATCTTCTATTTTTACAGTATCAAGCGGACCCGATAAAGAAGGACCGTAAAAATGTTATAAGTTACGAAAAGCCTGAGCGAATACTTCACGAAAATATCACTACTTCAGTTTTATGGTTATAAAACTATGTCACTGCTGCGCTATCTCCGTCGTCCCTTTGATCAAACATTTAATTTTTGTAATAGCAAAATGTCAAAGACTAAGAACTCATGTATAAAGACCGTTGAGTTTCTAAAGTGACTGAATAATCACATTTAAATAACAGCATCCAAGTTTTCTATTAAACTTTAGCGACCTCTTTTCCTTCTTAACTCTATCGCTATCTCATCCATGGCGTATATCTGGCGCCTCTTAATTGCTCCAGACTAATAATTATTATCAGTTCGCGTGTCGCCCCGCCCCCTCCTCCGATACGCAGTACCGACACAGTGGAGCGAGAGCAGCGGGTTATCTGTCCAGCTTTTTTACACTACTTGTGTCAGCTGATTGTAGGAGAAATCCGAACCTTAAGTACATCATAGTCGTAGCTACTTGAAATGCGGCATTCGAGCAAGAAAGTGAATTAATGTATATCAATAATCACACTAATATTATAAAAACGAAAGTTTGTGAGTGTGTATGTTTGTTACTTCTTCACGTCTAAACGGCTAGAGCTATTTAAATAAAATTTAGTAAGGAGTTAGCTGACACCCTGGATTAACACGTAGGCTATGTTTTACTGCGGAAAAATATCCCTAATAAACCGAGGGTAACACCGCGGGGCACAGCTAATGAAACATATAACTGTCGGTTGGTGATGGTACTACGTCAAAAGCCGAAAAAGAGCATTTAAGAGAGGTACGGCAAGGCAGATTTCCCGCTTGAATCGGAGCGCGTGTCTGACGAAGTATACTCTTACGAATGTTAATGGACGGACCTTTCGATGTTGTTGTAATTACAACAGTTTAGAAACCTTTCAAGGGCTCCACGGAGTAGGAGATTTTGTTTCAAAGCATTTTGTTATTACTTAGTAGTTCTTTTATAGAACTATGACTTCTGTAAAAACGTTTTGTTCACATTGGTTCTACAGTACTGGGACCAAAACTCGCAGGCTAGTAAGATGAGTAAATATTGCTGGAGCAGCACTATTCTATCATATCAGCTATTCACAAGTCAATCCTCACAAAGTCTGGGCCTTAATAATTGGTACGAGTAGTTAGAATTTATTTATTATTATAATATTATTTTTATAGCTATACTTTTCTCCTCGTGTCAACATTGGCAAATAGTTGTTAAAATTGTTCATGATATATAGTATGTATATAAGCTCCTTATTCGAGATAATTCATTGTGCGAATGTGGGCTCGATGAGGGTACAATAGACCACATATTTTTCTCTTGCGCAAAAATCGAAAATCTTTTAAGCTCTACAGCGAGTTGGTAAAAATTAAGGTACCGCTTCCAATAAACATTCGATCACTTTTTGCAATTTTTGCTTCTCAAATAATTCTTACCTTGGCGAAATTTATTCATGATAACAATATTAAACTGTGAAGGTATACTGTAACTACAACTCTAAATTCCTCATAACTCCTTTTAATATAACAATAATAATTCATTAAACGGTGTGGTAAAATAAAAATAATAAAAGGAAGCGGCTCCTATCTTCATATTCCCTTTTCCAAAACTAATATAATATGTGCACGTCTTTCCGGAAATCCACTGACAATTCGACGCTGATATCTCTCAGTACGGGACGCTGGCAGATGGGCCCCAGAAGGAAGGCACATTAGCCAAAAATTAAATAAATATATATAGTATGTATATTATATAAACAACACGACTAGCGGTAAAATTTCCCATTTAATTAAATAAACATAACATCCATATTAAAAAATATCAAAACTTTGCAACCTCTTGCTCATGCCAATTGTTCACTGTGCATTTTAGGCATTCCAATAAATGTTCAAAATTATGCAATATCAAAATAACATATGGCCGATAACGAGAATATTATTTTCCTTGTGTATTATTTGTATTGCAATAAATATTGCTCTTAGTTACAGCACATTAATGTTTATTAGAGGTTTTATGCGAATTCAAGTATTCGAGTGTCTGTCCATGCAAATAGGATGATAGGTAACCGAGAAGCCTGCACCAAACTTGTTTATTTTTTTGAGAAGTATTATCCTTGTCTGCATATACATTGCTTTTTTTTATAGTGCAAAATTAGAGAATATCTTTGGTAGTATAAAAACTTTTTTTTTTTAAGTAAAGAAGGCAAAGACGTTATGTATCATCATTGCTGGTGACGTGAACCCTCCAGTAGCTTTTATTTAAAAGACTGATAATTTGGAC